GAAATATTTGAAAAGCTTTTTAGTATGGTTCATTGCACAAGTATTGGTCGAGGAGGAAATTTACTCGGAACATTTGCTTATAGTTGAGCGAAATAGTCAGATACGTGTTTTTTCTGACGAATTCGCTCATTGAGTGTTTTTGACGATATAATGAAGCGTCATTGTTTGTTTCGAATTGTACGACATATTTAAAAAGCTTTTTATTAGTTGTTCATTTGCCAAGTGTTCGTCGATGATGGAATTTAACTGAAATATTTGCTTATACTTTGGCGAAGTAGTCACATAGTTGTTTCCTATAAATTATTCGTTCATTGAGTGTATCTAACGACATAACCAAGTATCATTGTTTGCTCCGAATTCCCGAAAATATTTAAAAAACAATTTCTGGTTGGTTCTTTTCGCAAGTGTTGGTCGATGATGCAATTTCACTTGATAATTTCCTTATAGTTCAGCGAAGTAGTCACATATGTGTTTACTATGAATTATTCGTTGATTAAGTGTCTCTCACGATATAATCAAGTACCATTGTTTTCTTCGAAAGGCAGGAAATATTTGAAAAGCTTTTCGTCAGTGATTTATTTGGTGAGCGTTCGTAGACCATAGAATTTAACAGGAAGATTTTTTCCTACTTCAACGAAATAGTAGAACAGGTGTTTTGTTTAAATTATTCCATGATTGCGCGTTTTTCATGCTGTAATGAAGTGCCATTGTTAACTGAAAATTGCAGGAAACATTTGAAAAGATTATTATGTGTGATCAATTTGGCCAGTGCCCGTCTATGATAGACTTTAACTGACACATTTATATTTTAATGAACTAGTCACATAGGCTTTTCCTATAAATTATTCGTTAATTTAATGGTTCTGACGATATAATGAAATGCGGTTGTTTGCTTCAAATTGCAGAAAAATATTTGAAAAGTTTTTTATGAATGGTTCCTTTGGGAAGTCTTCCTCGAGGATGGAATTTGACCCGAACAGTTGCTTATAGTTCAGCGAAATAGTAGAATAGGTGTGTAGTATGAATTATTCCTGGTTCAGTGTTTCTGATAATGTAATGAAGTGTCACAGTTTGCTTCGAATCACAGGAAGCATCTGAATAGCTTTTTATGACTGATTCATTTGACGAGTATTGGTCGATAATGGAATTCAACCGGAACATATGCTTATTGGTCAGCAACGTGGTCACATAGGTTTTTGATATGAGTTATTCGTTGATTGTATGCTTCGGACGGTATAATCAAGTGTAATTGTTTGCTTCGAATTCCTGAAAATATTTGAAAAGCAATTTCTGGTTGGTTCTTTTCGCACGTGTTGGCCGACGATGCAATTTAAACGAACGATTTGCTTATAGTTCAGCGAAGTAGTCGCATAGATGTTTAATATAAGTTATTCGTTGATTGAGTGTTACTGACGATATAACCAAGTACCATTCTTTTGCTTCGAATCACTGCAGGTATTTGAACAGCTTTGTATTGTGGTTTATTCTGCAAGTGTTCATCTAGCAGGATATTTAACCGGAAAATTTGCTTACAGTTCAGAGAAGTACTCAGATAGGTGTTTGTTATGACGAATTCGCTAATTCAGTGTTTCTGACGATAGAATAAAATGTCATTATTTATTTCGCATTGTAGAAAATATTTAAAAAGGTTTTTATGAGTAGTGCTTTTGGCGTGTGGTCATCAAAGATGGAATTTAATTGAAAGATTTGCTTATACTTCGACGAAGTAGTCACATGGTTGTTTATTACGAGTTAGTCATCGATTGAGTGTTCCAGACGATATAAGAAAGTGTCATTGTCTGCTTCAAATTGTAGGAAATATTTGAAAAGCTTTTTATAAGTGGTTCATTTGACTAGTGGTCATCGATGATGAAATTTAACTCGAAGATTTCTTTATGCTTCGGCGAAGTAGTCACATACTTCTTTCGTATGGGTTAGTCGTTGGTTGAGTGTTTCTGACAACAGAATGAAGCGCGATTGTTTGGTTTGAATTACAGGACATATTTGAAAAACTTTTTATGAGTGGTTCATTTGGGGAGTTTTCGTGGACGATGGAATTTAACCGAAACATTCGCTTATAACTTAGCGAAATAGTAGAATAGGTGTGTTATATGAATTATTCCTGATTCAGTGTTTCTGATGTAGTAATGAAGTGCCATAGTTTGCTGCGAATTGCAGGAAGCATCTGAATAGCTTTTTATGACTGATTCATTTGACGAGTATTGGTCGATAATAGAATTCAACCGGAACATATGCTTATTGTTCAGCAACGTGGTCACATAGGTTTTTGATATGAGTTATTCGTTGATTGAATACTTCGGACAATATAATCAAGTGCCATTGTGTGCTTCGAATTGCAGCAAATATTTGAAAAGCTTTTTATGAACGGTTCATTTGGCGAGTGTTGGTTAATAATGTAATTTAACCGAAACATTTGCTTATAGTACAGCGAAGTGGTCATGCAGATGTTTAGTATAAATTATTCGTTGAGTGACTGTTGCTGATGATATAGCCAACTACCACTGTTTGACTTCGAATTGCAGGAAACAGTTGAATAGCATTTTATGAGTGATTCATTTGAGGAGTGTTCGTGATGGAGAGTATTTGATCGGAACGTTTGCTTACAGTTCAGCGAAGTAGTCACATAGGTGTTTACTATAAGTTATTCGTTGATTGAGCGTTTGTGATGACATAATGAAGTGGCATTGGTTAGTTTGAATTGCAGGAAATATTTGAAAAACTTTTTAGGATGGGTTCATTTTGGGAGTGTTCATCGACGATGAAATTTCAGCGAAACATTTGCTTATAGTTCAACGAAGTAGTGAGTTAGGTATTTCCTATGAGTTATTCGTTGATTGACTGGCTCTGAGCACACAATCAAGTGGATTGTGTATTTGGAATTCCAGAAAATATTTGAACAGCTTTTTATGCATTTTTCATTGAGTAGGTGTTCTGGATGGTATAATCTTCATAAAATGTGGGTGTGGAGTTGAAGAAAATACTGGAATAATAGTTTGTTGTGAATTATTGCTGTATGGTGTTGTGGCGGTGAATATAAGCAACTTGAAATGTGTATTTAGGAGTGGAACATATTATTTGAATGACGCTTTTAGCATTCGCTGATCTTGTAGGAAATTTGAATGGGGATGAATGCCATAGTTTCTTTTAAGCGAGAAGCATATTTGAATACGGTGTTTAAATCAAGTATGTTGTAACGATTTAGTGTTTATTTTAATTTCGCAGGAATTGCAGTAACAACTTTGTTTTCTTTCTAGGATAGATGGCATGAACGCAACGTCATGTACTTACAGATTGGACACTGTTATCTATCATCATTAAAACCAAAGGACTTTTATCTTAGTCAGTTTTGTACTGTTTTTGCAACTAATTCGCTAGCTTTGCTTATATTCTCGCAGCCTGTTTCTTTTTTCTTATTGTATACTTAGTATTTTTTTTCTTTTTATTTTTTCTGTATCAGTTATTATTACTTATTTAAATAAACTGTATATGAAACGTATTTTTTTTGTCTGAAGAATATATGTGCAGCAATAACATCAAAAAATAATAGGATATCGAAAATATGAGTATTTTATTGAAGAAGAAAACTTTTTGATTTTATTGTAATAATTAAAAAAGTCGTAGATGAATAATAAGAAATGAAAAAAAAATTATTCTTGTTCTTGTTTTGTTGAATTTTCGACTATATTGTTGCCATTATCTAGGGGTGTAACAAATCTTGAGATAGATTTGGATTTGGCACCAAACTTTTGGAATTTGCATTTGGACTTGAATGCAATATTTGGAGTTAGGTTTGGATTTGTTCATCATTTGCCCCAAATCCAAAGGACTTGCTAATATACGGTGTCATTAACAACAGTTTACTGTACTGGGAATAGAATACAATCAGAAAAAGATTTAGACACCTAAGACCAAATCCAACTCCAAACATAAACGGTTTGAGACCACACCTTAAAATTCTTTTTTCTTCTCTCCTATCTCTATTAGAGTAGATTGTTGTTTGTAACACCGTATCTTACCAAATCCCTTGAACTTTGGGCCAATGTTGAACAAATACAAATCAAATTAAAATCTAAACTTTCAAACCCAAACCTATGTTCAAACCTAGACTACAAAATCTGAATCCGAACCCAAATTAAATCCAGATCTATTTTTAAGTCCAAATCTAATGATGTCAAACCCCCAACGTTTGGGTTTGTTGCATCCCTACGATCATCAGCCGCACATTTTATAAAACATAAACCGGTTGTACCACCGTCAACTCGACCAAGACATAAACCACCGTTTATAATAATAATAATTGGGCTTTTAATTGTTCATGTAGAATAAACAAATATATCTCAAAATACAGCAATGAATCATCATGTATAATAGCTGCCGTAATACGTACATTTTATGAATCAAAACATGGATTTTTATTAATAGTAATAATATACGTGAAACAATAGCATTCAAAACATATACGATATTGAATAAATGATTATTTTATTTAAGAAGAACATTCCTGATTCCATTATCATAATGAAAAAAAGGCATAGATGAATAATAGTAAATCAAAAAACTTATTTTTGTTTTTCTTTTGTTGGGTTGATTCAGTTTATGTTATTATAAATCTTCTCATGATGGTCATAACAATAAGACCGAAAATATAGCAAAACAAAAAAAAAATAATTTTTTTTCATTTATTATTATTTATCTATGCTTTTTTTATTTTTTAAATACACAAAAAAAGTTCTTATCGAAATTTTATTATTATGATACCAATTGAATAGTGATCAAATAGCATAGAGAAATAGAGCGAAAGATCCTCTATTTGTTCATAAATAAAGAGTTTTTTTAAGCTTTCTATAAGAAAAAAAAATCTCCACCACTACTTTTGAATAACTCTAAGTATATTCATTGAAATATTTTTTTCTGAAGCTAAAATTTTAATAAAATTCAGAACGATAAAAAAAAGATTTATTATAATTAAAAAATAAAATTTAAGTTTTAGCACTTTTAATTCGTAACATTCTAATAGATGATGTTGCCGGTGTTGTTGACGCACCAAGATTTGATAAAAGCTCTTCTGTTAATGGTGTTATCTTTTCAATATGTACATTAGCTGTTTGAATGCGTTTAGTTGGTGTTGTTGAATAACAACGTAAACGTGAATTTGTAAAACGTTGTTTATCACGTTGATATGGTGCAATTGATGTCATAGGACGATTACGTGTCAAAATTGTTTGATAAGGCGTTATTGATCGTGATGATGCTATTATACGTGAAGGTGGTGGTACAATAGATGCTGATACTAAGCTAGCTGCTCCATCATTTAAAGTAACTTGTTCAAGTTCTTCTTCAATTTCATTTAAATTTGTTCTTAATACTTCTACTTGTTGAAAAGCATCAATTTTAAGTGAACGTTCTTGTTCAAGTTTTTTCTTTGTTTGTAATAAATTACGTTTAACATATGTTTGTTCTAAACGCATAGCACGATTTTCACGTTCATAGTCATTTGTTTTCTTTTCAAGTTCATGATCTCTTAATACTAATTGATTACTTTGATCTTGCATCCAACGTAATCTTGTTTCAATAATTTGTTTTTGATTTAATGCTTGACGTAAATCATCATCACGTTCAAGATTAGCTTTATTTTCAGATTTATTTTCTGTTTCAAATATTTTTTTATAATGATTTTCATTTGTTAATATACGTTTTCGTAAATAATTATTTGCTTTTTTTAATGTTTGAATTTCTTCAATTTGTTGTGTTGTTTTATAAATATAACGTTTTTGATAACGATTTAATTCATATTGTAATTGTCCTATAGTTTTTTCTAATTCAATTTGTTCTTTATGCCATTTACATTCACGTTGATATATTTCATTTGTTTGTTTTTCTTGATTTAAATGAATTTGATCTTGTAAACTATGTATAAGTTTTGTTTGTTCTGTATTTTGTTGATCAATTATTGATTTAGCATCGGATGTTAATTTAGCATGTGCCATTTTATAAATTTCTGTACGTATTTCTTTAATTATTTTTATTGTACTATTATATAATTGTTCACGATATTGTTCAAATCTTGTACGAAGTAATAAATTTGTATTTAATAATTTTTCATTAATTGATTGAAAATGATCACGTATATGATTTAATTCTTTATCAAAACGAAGTTGTTTATCATTTTTTAATTGAGCATTTATTAAACGAAGATGTATTAATTCAGTTATTAAATCAAAATAAGTTGATAATGTTAATAAATGTGATTCAAGTTCAATAGTAAATTGTTGATCTTGAAGTTGTGAACGTAAAGATTTTATTTCATTTTCACGTAAACCAATTAATTGACGAGCATTATGAATAAGACTTTCATAATAAAAACTATAATTTGTATAATTATCACGTTCACGTTGCATTATACGATTACCAATTTCTTTTAAACATAATTCTAAATCACTTCGACGTATACAATAAATATCTGAAGTTCGAGGTGAATTTGAAAGAGTTGATGAAATTATTGTACTATCAATATCTCCTAAGCAAAATAAACAAATAAATATCTAAATCGAATCAATTAAACAATATATCAATTGCATTCGTCTCATTAGATTGATTTAGTGTATCAAAATTCTTATACAAATGTTTGAAATTTTTTTTATTATCACCTTCGGTAACATTTTCTTACGAGGGAACATTTAAAAGTGATTCATTCTGTTTGCCTTCATATTTTTCTAATATGTAGGAGATTACTAGAGTAGCATAGCCCTAAAGGTTTTCTGCTCTTGCTTAGATTTTTAGTCGAGTCCCTCTATAAGAGTCCAGTTTTCAAAAAAAAAAATATATTTCGGAATGTTGATCTGAAACATTATAAATTTTCATGAGTTTTGGACATCACATTGTTAAGATGTAAATTTTTCAATATATCTACGCTTTTTTAAAGTGCTGTGTGAGATAGGGATATATTGAGAAATCCATATCTCAACAACTTTATAAATGAGATAGTCTAAACAATACCTTTATGTGTTCAATGTTTCAGATAGAAATTCCGAAATAAAAATTTTTTTTTTTCGAAAACTGGACTCCAGTAAGATTTAAGATAGATTCATATAGAGATACGAAGTAGCTATAGTGACTCCCAAAATTATTCGATCACGTTAGTTTTCAAATTTTATTTTCAACAAGAATATTGACAGATAAAAATGAATGCTAATTTCCCGAACAAAAGGTCTCTAAATAACTAAAAATCGATTTCTTAAGGTGTTAGAATTTACAATTAAAATTCTATTTGTGGTTACCCAGAATGATAGTGGAAACAATTCTCTACCACATAAAATGTCTTCTAGTTCTATGCGACTTTTTTCAATCAAAATGATATTTCCATACGAAATAACAGAAAAAAAAAGATTTTTGCGCCTTTCATAAAGTTAATGTATCTTGATCAATAAATACCGGAGAGAACTAGAGGAAGAAGTCGGTGTTTGGTTTTTTAGAAAAATCTTTGCTCGAAAAATTAGCAATGATTTTTCTCTTAGAAAAAAGAAATTCTTGTTGGAAATAAAATTCTCTAATCAGATCATTATTTCGGTTGTTCTTAGTGTTTACGGTAACAGAAAAAAGTTGAAAATAAACCTAATCGAATAATTTTATGAGCCTCTTCTATATAAACTCATTAATTTAATCTTTAGTTTAAAATTGTGTAAGTCGAACAACTTTTTTTTTTTTGATGCAAAATCATCTTTAATCAGTATCTGACATGAAATATAGGAAATTCTTTTTCTTACCAGCTTCTTCAGTTGTAACAGTCGAATTTAATGTTAATTGTTCATCTTTACATTCATAATGTGATAATAATTTTGCAAAATCATCTAAAATATGTGGTCGTAAAACGGAAAAATTTTCTGTAAATTGTTGTTTTTTCCATAAATCAGTTGGAAGACTATTTTCTTCTCGAAGTCGTTCAGATAAAACTAATGTTCGTTCTCGTTTAAAACGTTTTAATGTATCATTCATCATAAATTTTCCTTCAAGTTCAATTAATATTCTTGATATTAATGCTTGTTTACATTCATATTCAGTTACAATTGGTGCTAATTGTCCTGTAATTAGAGCTGTTGGAAAATCATTATAAAAATTACTATATCCAACATTTGTTGCTAATTGTCTTAAAACAGGACTACGAATTTCATCACGAAAACTAGACAATGCATCATCAAATGTTCTTATTGTATCTATTGAAAGTACATTTAATTTTGTTATACTCCAAGCATTTCGAACAAGTTCAAGACGAATACATTCAATAATATAAATTTCAAGACGTAAATATTTCCAAAGATGATCACCTGTAGCGATCTAAATTTATGAATAGAATTAAATTTTCTTCGAATAAATATTTATACAAATGAAAGATTTATTATCATAAAGCTTTATATGTCTATATTTTATAAAAGATAGAGTACTTCAATTATAAACTTGAGATGTACGAAGAAGCCTCCATTGTATCGGAGGGCTTCGGAGTGGATCTCCTCTCTGTTGACAGCTAAGATCGTGAAATTTCTAGGAACAAGTTGATTAGAACAGAGTCTCCACAAAAGAAAATTTCAGGGCGAATGATTCAATTAACATGAAACTATTATTTATGATAGAGACAGCATGCTAAGCTCTCGAATATTCTATGTTGACCTTCTAGCTTCTCTACATAAAGATTGAACAAGTCGTGAGTGGCCTTTGGGATTAGTGTTCAACTGACTTTATGCGTGTCAAAAAATGAAACCAAATGATTCAAGATTAGACTGTAATAATCATATATGAAATATAATTACTAAAATATATTCGGATAATGAAAGCTAAAAGAATACCAAATATCTAATTCAATAATATCATAAACGAATGTTCTCTTCTCGAATTGATTTTATAAAAATATTCATAATGAAATATCGTAGAATAACATTATTCTGAGTGTCTTATGTATTCTGTATAACTCTCTTAATTCCATATGTAAAAGTCTTTATTTCATAGTTAAAAGTAAAGTATTTAAACTTCTGAAATCTATTGTTATCGTTTTGATGTAAGAAATTATTACGATAGGAATATTTATATTTCTCTATGTACCTCGTTTTGACGTAGAATAGTTCCAATATTATTCATTGCTGTTCTTTGTTTAATAACTTCATCAATATTTTGTAACATAACATGAGTTGAAATTAATTCTGCATTTGCTAATGTTAATTCTGATGATTTTAAACCAATTAAACATACATGTATAAGATCAATTAAAGTATATTTTGGCCACCAAAGTCTTCTAGAATTTATATTATATTGATATTCATGTACTGTCCATGGATAAAATCTTTTAGCTGAAGTTTGTACAGGTAATAATGGATCAGGTAAAATTAAATAAATAGGTCGTAAATGATCATAATTACTTATAAATTGTTTTAAAATTGGTTTTGAACGTGAATAAACAAGATTAAATGCTAATTGATTTTTTCTATTAAGAAAATAATTTGGTATAAGATATGATATAGAAAAATAAATTTGAAATATTGTTAAACGTCTTTTTGTTTCTAATAAATCTGCTATTTTTGATAATGATAATGATGGTGATAAATCAATTTCACGTTGAATTTCATGTAATTCAGATGCAAATTCTCCACTTTGATCAAATGTTGATAAATCATTAGTTCGATCATTAACTAAAAGCAAAAACAAAAACAAAAAAAATCATTTGAATTTTAATATCTTAAAAACAAAAAAAATTTTTTTTTTCTTTTTACATCTTTGATCAGCATTTGCTGTTGCATTATTTAATTGTGCATAAGCAACAACAATATGTATAAGATCATTAAGAGATGATACAATACGTAAAACATTTCGTAAACGTTGTTGTAATTCATCAATATTAAGTTTAGCATTTTTAAACATTGTTAATTGTTCAATAAATGATGGAATATACCAAAGATTAGCAAGATCTGTACCATTTTCATTGACCATCATTTTCGGTCGATATTGATAACCATTCGTAGTTAATGTATTTGTTGAAACAGGTGATGAAGTAGCTGAATCATTTTGATCATTTGATGATGATGATGATGTTACTGTTGTTGTTGGTAATGGTGGTGGAATTGGTTTTGACCATATAAAATGTGTTCGACTTGTTAATGGAAATTGATTTATAAGATAAGTTAAACTTAAATATGATTGAATTATTTGTAAACGTATAAGTATAAGTGTATTACGTTGATGTACACGATCAATAAAATCATTTAATAATGAACGTTTTAATTTTTCAACTTCACGTGGTTGTTGATATTGTAATGGTTTTAATTCACGTTTACGAAGAAATTCATTAAGTATACGATCACGACATGGAGTTTTTTCAAATTGAATTGAAATAAAATAATTATCACGAAAAATTTTTCGACGTGCATTTTCATAAAGAACATTATTAAGAAGTGTATTTGGTTGATCAGTTTGTTTTGTAGTACCTAGAAAATATTATCATTTAAATATTTTTGTGAAATACAATCTATAAAAAAAAGAATATTGAAGTATAGAGATAGAAAGTTGGATCCGATAGAACTGTACTTTGATACTCTCAATGAAATTTTCTCATCAAAATTTGGATATACAAGATACTTTTTTCTTATTTTTGTGTTCTACGATAAGTGCATCCTATACATTTCTGGAGGATTAAATAAAAGGATGGTGCATATGTATTATACTAAAAATTTATTCTAAATAAAACATGCCTTGTGCTTTTTTAATCATCGAAAGAAAAATATTTTATGCTTCTGATCGAATCTTGACAATGTTTCAAGATTTCAAACATCTAGAAATTTATTTTGATTGATTTCTTCGTTTTTATTAAGAATAAAATTCATCTGGTGAGTATCATCTTAGAAATATAAATCTTCTAGTGAAAAGGTTTTCATAACATTCTATACCGATAATCATACAAATAGGAATCTCTCGTCTGAACAGTTTATATCTAAAATTTAATACAAAGTCCTACGATTCGAAGATTCTAATCTATTTGTGGTTAATACTATTCTATAGCTATAAGCAGAACAACTCTTACCCAGTATAGGACACAACGATATTTTCGAATACTCAGTAAATATTGATAACGAACAAACAGATTGAAGGATTATTATTTAGTTTTGATTAACATATAACAGTAGTTGAAAGTGACTAGACCATGATTGTCGTTATTTTTTTGGCGGTGGAAAAGGCTAAAAATTCGGTAGAAATCGCTTTCATCCTTAGAATGCTACAAGTAATGACCGAGAGGAGAAGAACGAAGTTCACTGTGACTTGACTCCTTCCATAACAGACGACCTGTTCAATTCTATTCATCTCGCAACGACATTGTCTGCTTATTTTTATTTCGCTTTCTGCCAGAGAAAGTATTTCTCAAATTGAGATCTTTTCTCTTCAACATCAAATTACAAAAATTTATTTAAAAATTCTCATCTAATCTAACTATTCTTTCTTTTTTTTTTTTACATCACTTATAATAATGAATAGCTAAAATTACTTGAAATTTGTCGTTTTCCTGTTGGTGGAGTTTTTGTTTGTTCGGATCTTCCATCAACTTTAATAGTTTGTAATTGTTGTGTAATACATATAATAGCTATTCGATGTTGAAGAATAGCTGTATAAACAAAATGATTATGCATAAATTGTAATCTTAATGCAATTTTTAAATTATTAATAGCATCATCAGCATCATTAATTAATGTTAACCATTGATCTTTTTGTCTAAAACTTATTCGTCCAATTGAACTTTCATCAAGTTCTTGTGCAGCAAATAATAAATATTGTTGTCCAGTTATTTTATCTAAACGACCATCAGCTATATGACTTGATTCATTATCATAATCATTATCTGTTGTTGATAAATTTCTTGGTTGTGCAAATTCAAATTGTACATAACGTAAAAATAAATGTGATTGATCAATTGACATAATATCAAGTTGTTGTTTATAAATTTTTGTTAATAATTCACATTGATTTGCTGAATGTATTAAACGATAACGTAATGTTATTAATTCAATTAAATTTATATTTAATTTAATAAATTTTTCATATTGTTCTTTTTTTGTTGTTCGACTTTCATCAATTTGTTTTAAAATTTCATATGCAAATTTACCCATCATTGTTGGATGATCACTATATAATGTATTAAATATATCACGTTGTTGATTTAATGCATACATTCCACCTGGTTGTTCAAGTTGTTTATAAATTAATAAAATTTCATCAAAATATTCAATTTCATAAAGAATTTTATCAGTTAATGAAAGATTTATTTGATGTTGTAATTGTTCAAATTCAATAAATTCATTTAATGATTGTTTTAATAAATATGGTAAACGTGTTAATGATGAAAGTGATTCAATAAATTCAAATAAATAATAACTATGAATTTTTGATACACTTAAATAAATTGGTGGTGATGATTGTGAACGTAATGAAGAAAAATATGAACCATAATCATTTGAATCAAAAAGATTTTCAGTTATTTGACGTATATCTATTATATGTCGATTAATATATTCACGAATTAAAGATAAATATTGTTTAAGTAAATGAATTTCTAATGAATATGAATGAGAAAAATAATCATCATTACGAAAATCAATACGTGGACGACGTGACATTATATTAATTATTATTTGTGATATAATATGACGTTCATCATGATCAAATGTATGTTGATAAACTTCATAAAAACAATCAATTATTTTACGTTTATATTGTAAATAATTTAATTCATATTCCCATAAATTATAAAGTATTTCAAAACGATCAATTTTTCTTTGATAATCATTATCTTTTTCATTTTTTAAACATGATTTTTCAATAAAATATGAACCTATAGAAATTATTTCTTGTTCAAGTTCATTAATATCATCAAATGCACAATCATATATTATATGTAAACCACTTGAATCTTGTACATATACAATTGAACCATCATTATCTATTATATCTTCATGTGCATAATCTTCAATATTATCAATATGTTCACCTGATTGCATATAATTTAATATATCAAATGTACATTCATGTGGTGTATCAAATAAATATGTATGTGGTATATAATGACTAAAACGTTGATCAATAGAATGAAATTCTTTACCTTTTGATGTCATTATTAAACGTTGTTCATATATAGTTAATGTACGTTGTATGGAACGAAAATAATTAAATTCATGTAAACAACGATCACGTAATGTACGTACACGAAGTAAACGAAGTGTTATATATGATAATTGTAAACCATAAGATTCAGATGCATCATTATTTTCTGTATCACTATTACGATCTTGACCTATTGTATCATCAAGACCAAGTTTTTGTAATGTTTCCAAATAATTAAATTCATCACGTTTCATATAATGAGCAGAACGATTAGATGTATCACGAAAATCATGTGTATCTTAAGTAAATCAAGATATATTAAAATGTTAAATGACAAGTTTTAACTAGAAGAAGAATAAGAATATGTCTGATGTGCGGTATGAGACGCTGCCTAGCAACAGATTCAAAAGTCCGATATCTTCCCTACAATCAATACTAGCTATAACTCTGCGTAGAAGACCGATTTAATGCAGAATTCGTATGCTCAATGTCTCGAGCTCTCTATATACACTAACTAACGACAAGAGCAGGTGTATGTCACAACATAATCATAGAGCCCATCGAGTTGATTCTGAACTCGACGGCCTCTACTATCGAACAGGTCATTTCATGGCTGATAATACCGATTATTGCTGCTGAGATACTGCATTTTTATGGTATTTTCTAAGAACAGTACTGTAATCCTCTCAGAAACATCAGAAAAAAATAGTTTATTGTGAAAGTTTCAGATCTTCTGATTGCTCCTATTCTGAAATAAGAACCTAGGAATCTATCAGTATATACAAGTATGCTTTTATCATAACTGTATCCTAGGATAGGAACAACCAAGAGATCTAAGACTTTCACAATAAACTATTCTCATTGAAGTCTGTCACTATAAAAAAGTTTCAAGTCGAAATTCAAAACTCAGTTTTTCTGATGTTTCTGTGAGAGATCACGATACTGTGCTTAGAAAATATCGTAACAATGTAGTATCTCAGCAGCAATAATCTATGAGCCCGAACTCTTTTCAAGATATTCATAACTCATTATGGCCTGCATAGCTCCGACTTAAAAGTGATCGATCACTTGGAGACCTTCCCTCGTCAGCTATGATGGTATCGAGTTTTAATTGAAGATTGCCTATATCGTTTTTTTTTTCGAAACCAATTATTCAGGCAGTTATTCTTTTATTTTACATTAATCTAATATTTTTATTGATCTTAATTGTATATTCAACATTATTAGTTTTTCCTTCTTGAACACTTAATTCTCTCTCACATAATCAATTCTTCAACATTCAACAATAGAATTGAATGTATTTAAAACATGAATTCAACCGATATCAATAAATTAGTACATATTGTATACAGTATTGTACGAAGTGTATGGTTCGACAACATGTTCGAAAGAAAGAATTCCATTCTTTTGAATTGTGCTCATCGAATAAAAGAAAGAAAAAAACATCCAAAGAATATTTAATAGCCTGGAGCGATTCTCTTCTCGGATTAGACTTAATAACTTTGTTTTTTTTATTCTATATTATATTTTCTTAAAATGGAAGTAACTTCAAATGTGCTTTAGTCTCATATAGAGTGGCTAAATAAACTATAACAACTTCTAATAATAGTTTGTTTATTTTATTAATCAGAAGTCTAACAAGGAAAAATTCTCAAGTATGACTCGTCAATCGAATGGATATTTTGCCGATAAGTAGATTATGATGGGACTAATAGAAACCTATAAATGTTTGTCCTTATTGCGCCGTTCTTGTTAAGTTATTATAATTTTACTGAATCTTTTTAGGACACTTTAAGGTCGAGATAAATAAAATTGTAATAACTTAAGAAGAATCAGTGTATGACGACGAATCGTTATAGGGTTCTACTAATCTTATCGGGATCTATTTATTGGCAAAATATTAATTCGATTGATGAATCGTATTTGGGAATGTTCCCTTGTATACCTCTGTGTAATTTTTTTCGATGTATTTATTTATCTGTTCTATTCTATAGATTGTGAAAGACATCTAAAATTCCTTTGTCTTTTCCTGATATAAACTTAAATTCTAGATGAGTTAATCAAAATTTTAGATATGATTAATTTATACCTGGTAATTCATCATTATCATTATTATCATCATCTTGATCATCACCTTGATTTGTTCCATTTGTTGAATTAATATCAAAAATATTTTTCCAAAAAATATCAGTCACAGCTGTTGCTTGAGTTGTATTTGTTGTTGAATTTTCTAAAATTTGTTTTAATGCTGTACTTTTTTTAACTTTAATAGCAAGTAAATATTGTTTAAGTATATTAGCTACTTTATCAGCATTTCTAACATGTAAAAATTCTACTATTCTCATTAATAATTCATCATTTTTTCCACCTTTTATATATTTCCAATAATCACGTTCATGTTGTGAATCACATTCAGGTTTTATTGTAATAAAATTAATCCATAAAGATTTTTTAATTAATTGACAATTTGATGATTGTCGTGATTGTGCAATTATTTTTGGTTTAGCTGATTCATATAAAATATTAGGTCGTCGTTTTTCTTGTTCAAAAAAAATAATACGATAATGTCGAATTATATTTGCATATAATTCCATTTCATCACCTGATGTATGAATTTTTGATGTATCTAATGGTAATGAATAATAATGAAAAAGTATATTAAGTTTTTCAAGTGTTTGTTTTTGATCAAGTTCAATTGTTGGTATATGATATAAAGCTGTTGTTGTTTGATATGGTGATATTGGTGATTGAAGATTAATTGTTAATGTTTGAGTATCAGATGAATGACGTGTACGAAATTTTAAATGTAATATACGAATTAATTCAGATAATTGATCCATATATCTTTGTCCACGATATTGACAGACAAGATAACGTACATAAGCAACATAATCATCATTTATAAGTGGCTAAAATTAAAAATAGAAAAATGATGAAACTTTCAAGACAGATAGATCTTGATAAGTAGAGAAAAAATTACCATAGACTTAAAATTCTCAAATTCTTCTTTCAGGAAAATATGGAGATTGCAAAGATCAAATATTTCTTATACTTCAAACTATAATTTTTTTATGATAACATGTATGTTTTCTTTTATTTGAAAAATATCGTTTCTAGAATTCAGGATCGGCAAAATACTGGAAATTAGATACGTAGTTTTATTTACTCATCTGTAGATCTGAAGTACATATCAAAATCAAAACTATATCGAAAATGGAATACTATTGTCATGTATTTTTTTTTCCGAAGATGATAGATTTTGAAAATAATTTTATTGTATATAAAAATGAATGATTGAAAAGTTTTTAGACAAGATGTTTGCTGACTTTTGACCTACTAGAAAGTATTTTCGACGAGTCAAAAGCTATGTTAGTATGATATCTTGTCTAAAAACTTTCTGATCACTTGTTATTAGACAAAAGGGCATTACGACTTCTCTTCAATAGCAAATCGTTAACTATTGACATTGTCGAGTTATTGAGCTTACATTCACTTCTCTTTGATTATGGTGTAAGCATTAGTTAAATGTACAGAGGGGTCCGTGAGTGGCACTACAATAAAAATTTGAAATATCTCCGTTTCAGTTCACTCGAATGGACTGATTTTTTAGGTTTACTACAAAAAAAAATGTCGTCTATTGTCAAGTAAGAAAATAATATATATCAGAATTTCATGTTTGAAAATTCGATATTTTGTAACGTTTGACTTTTAAACTAATTAACTCCATGTGCATCAGTATAGTTCATTTGTATTTCTTCTTAGATTATTCTCTGCGATGCCAACGAAAAATTATCTATGACACAATTCCTATGTATTTTTCTTACTTGACAATACGTGAAATTTCTTTAGTGAGGCCAAAAAAAGAAAGATTTCTGCCATTAACTGAAAAATCAGTCTATTTGATTGAACCGACGCGGAGATATTTCGTTTTTTTTCTCATAAATCTATTTATGGCCCATCTTGTATATGTCATACATAAATTTTGATTTAAGAATCAAATTCAAGATTTGTAAACAGTTACTGAATTTGTGTAAATATGACAAAAAAAAACTGATAGATTGTGTAAGAAATCTTATAAAAATCACTATGATAAAGGTAATAGTAAGATATATCTTATGAATTTTATTTTCCATAACAAAAGTCTTTATGATATTTTAAGTTCCTACTGAATTTAAACTTTTTGAAATATATCGATCAAATTTTATTATAACAATTGTATACATCCCGAGGAAATAAAATTATTTACATTGATCGAAAGAAAAAAAAGTAATAGAGAAACGAATATTTTTTTTTTTCGTTATTGTTTTGATAAATAAAATAACAGTTCTGAGTGTTCTTGATTTCTCTATTCTATATACTTTTTTTTTTGTTTTTTATCAAACTAATAATAATAATAATAATACCTGATTTATATTTTTTGATGATACAACTGGTGGTGGTCCTAATAATGTTTCTCTTATTGTACTCAATCGTTGTGATCGTTGAAGAGCATCATTAAATTCTGCTAAAATTCTAGCTGATCTTTCATTAAATTGTTGTTCAACTTGTATGAATTGTATTTGTTGTCGACAAAAACGTTTCCATCGAATACTATGTAAAGTTTTAGCATATGTTAATGAAGATAATCTTTTTAAATAAAATGCTTGTAATAATAATGGTAAAGATTCAGGTGTATAATCACTATTCATTGATGTACATGTATTTAATTCATTTTGAAATTCATCACATAAAAGAACTACATCAGGAACAGTTCGAACATGTGCAAGACGTTCCAAATATAGACGACGTTCACGTCCTAAATGTCCAGGATCTTTTGGTATAAGATAAGAACTAAATGGACGAGTAAATGTAAGATTATATCTTAATTCATTATCTTCAATTTCTGCTTTAATTTCATTATATTCATGCAAAATTTGTTGTTCTATTTTTTCAAGTTGTGCTCTATCTTCTGTTTGAACCAAATGTGTATCAAGTTCATGTGTCCAAACTTGCATTGTTCTATGTTAAATAGATTACAAACCTTGAAAAAGTTCTACCAGAATATGTACTGCGTTTTTGATTACAAGATTCTCCTTTCTTCTTCTTCTTCTTCTTCTCTCTTTTGTTCTATGTTTTTTTTAAATTTTCTTATTGTGCTCGTGGTTTATTCGATTCTTTAATGGACAGTAACAAAAAAAAAAAGAAATTCCTTTTTTTTTCTTCCGTTCTATTTTGCTGTTACAAATATCGTTCATGATTTTTCTTTTCTTTAGTTTTTTTTTGGTATACGAAGAAAGCAAAAAATAAAAATAGAACAATAGAGTTAATAAGAACGGGGAAAAAAAAACCGATGACGACGATATGCACACACACACACACAATCATCGTCTCTAGTAAACATTATTTAAAATGTTTGAAAAATTCTAACAACTATAACTAAACAACGACGAAAGAGAAGAAAGATCGACATGGTAACTATAAGCAAAAGAACAGAAAGAAAAAAAAAAAGACAACATTGCTTTAAAAAACAGAAAACTTCTAAGATCACATAGCATTAATTAAGAAAATGTTGAAATCAAATTTTATTTTTCTCATTCGTCTCGTATTACATTTCTTTTTTTTTTTCTTCATATTATAATTATGAATCGATATATCATTTAAGTTAAAATATTTATGTAGATTAAACATAGAAAGATGATATGCAAATTCGAATTTGATTTGTAAGTGAATCATAAACAATGTAATCAGATTTTGAAGTCCTAATCAACGGTACATTTCTATGATTAAACAATCAATATCAATAATCTAGAAAAAGAGAAATAGTTCTAATGTAATAGATATAATTTCAGTTTAATTGTACTTTTATTTTTGTTCAAACACTTATTGCCGGATATTTTAAGTTTAATAAATGTACTTAAGTATTGTAACTACCCATTGATTCAAACCGGAGAAAAAATATCGGTAATTTGATACTCAAACGATCGGCTATGTTCTGACTGCTATTTTATCGCAGTTTACTGACAGGTGTTCTCCAATCGATAATTTCCTGCCAATATGCTTGCGGTAGTGTGAACAACATGCAACATGGGTAGGGAGTGTAGTTTTTTGTCTTATGTGGGAGCCGAGGGGGCGGCGCTTCTCCAAAGATCGGATTAGCGCTCCCAGAGTTTATGATTATTATAAAACAATATGTGTCTGTAGTAGGTAGTCGTCCTCTCGGAGTCTGGAATCATCCTTTTGGAAGAGAAAATATTGATAATAATTGATACTGTTCGACTTCTCGTTTGATTTTTCAAAATATCTCATCTCGAAATTTTTTCGAATAGTCTCGTAAAGTCTCCGTTTGTTCTTTTAAATGAAGAAAAAAAATATATATAAAGATTTCGTTTTGTTAAAGAAAAGTGCATTTTTATTATACGATCAATAAATCAAATGTATTCATATAGATGATTATTAGACAAAGTAACTATTTTCGGATGTGTATATATTATTGGCAACACAATACCGATCGATGAATATATTAAAATAAATAATTTTCTATTTAACAAATGCAATGTTCGAATATTAAAAGTACGCAAAACACTAAATAAACGAGACAATGTGCCTAAAAGGCAGTAGAAGTGAAACCAATTTTGAATAGAATAATAACGAAAGTAACTTTCAAAGAATCTTAAAATATTTTTCTATTTTCATATTATTTATTTTATTAGACATAAGAAAGGTCCTTTTCATCTAACCCATCAAATATTTAAATATTGTTTTACAAAAAAAAAAAAAAACAGAAAAGCTATTTCAACAGTAATATCATCTATAAAAATGTATTAGACTATTTGATATATGTAATTAATTAAAATATTTTCTGCATTATTTGTTAGTCATATGATGATGGTTTTTACAGATGTATTCAAATGACAAACATGTTTACTTAAATAAAAAAGATAAATATAGGGAAAATGATGCGAATTAGAAATATCTCATCAAGTTTTTATTTTGATGCCAAAACTTCCCGCTAGTCAAAATTAAAGCCTGTCAGGTTCAACATTTTTGGATTCGAACTAGAGATGTGCAAGATCAGGATCACGAGAAAAAAAATTTTCTTAACGAGAACTAACGATTATAGTTTAAATATTCTATGATTTTTAACAAATTAATGAGAACATAATTCAAGAATTGAAATGTGTAGGACAACGTTTTTTATAGTCCCGATAAACCTAATGTGGCTCTGATTCCGATTTAAAGAAAATTGTAAGAGAATTTTTTCCGTGTCACATGTAAAATAGTTCTGCAATGCTCGGTTTTTTTGATTTATTGAGTCGATGACTAGCATATTTTGGGTCATCTCTCTTGAATTATGTTCTGATTCATATGATTTATAAGAGAAGTTGTTTAAAACCGTTGAATATTTCACTATAAACTTGAGTTCTAATCCCGGCAGAGCTTTTTTTTAAATGTGATACAAATAAATTCTGGAATAGATTTCTCTAGACAAGAACTAAAAATAATTTGAATGAAATTTTTAGTTTAAGTCTGATAGTCGTTTCGAATTCTGATACTAACACACCCCACGCATTTCTCAGACAGTCTTAACGATGATCTGACAATAATCAAGTCGTAATGGCTGTTACTCGTAGCGTATGATCTATTGCTTTGAAATCAATCCGACGGGCTCTAGTTAAGACAAACTATGAAGTAATGTAATTTATTCATCTTCCAGAGGGCTATCTAAGCAAACATTCAGATGGGAGAGTATTATATCTTACTAGCGAGGTTCCGTACATACTGCCCGGTTGTTTTCTCCTTTAACGTATGACCTCAGACATTTAACTTTGCATCCGGTAACAGACATACAGACACTCAATATTATGTAGATGGATAGATAACCCTACTGCTTCATACTCTTATATCGCGCATACTTTATAGGCCACATAGCCTTCGCCTTTATAGTCTTATATCCCTTGAGGACCTCTGAGTATCCCCATAGGATAGCTCTTGAAGACCTGTGAATACCTCCACAGGATAGTTCTTGACGACCTATGGGTACCCCCCCCCCCTCCATAGGATAGGCCTTGGGACCTTTCCCTTATAGCCTTATTTGACTTTTGACCCGGCTCAGAGAAGTATACATACACTGAACATTATATATATAGATAATTAAGGTAAGATAGAATACCAAAAAAATACACACGTTTTTCCTGAAGAGTTCTATCATTATTCGGTTTAAGATACATTCACAGGAATTCCGCATGTGTGGATGTTAGCCATTTCAGATAAAATAGGATATGCTTACATTTCACTTGACTTTGATTATTTTTATGACAAAGTTCTTTTAGCATAGACAAATGTAAAAATGTTTGCCCTTTATCTCGACTATATATTAAAAAGTAATTGGCAAATATCTCTCTAACTATACGAGAAGAAATCCGAAAACTTCAGAATACACTCTATGGCATGAATTGTATCTATGGTGAAAAATTCAGTCAGATTGAACTCCAAAAAAAAAAAATCCTTTTACAAATCGATTTTGCTAGATCGGAAATGTTTTGTCTATACATTATTCTGATCGTTATTTTTATCTTTTTAGTTTACAGAAAAGTCAATATAACAACATATAAAATGCGGCAACAAAATATATACATAGAAAAAAATTGCAACAAGTAAACAATGAGAAGTCAATATGAGAAAAATATAACATGAAAAAAAGTTTATCTATTTTTATATTCTAGATGTATTGACTTTGATTCGAATATTGATTTTTATCTTTCGAAACATACACGTTCAAGTAATATTATTGGTTGAGGATGTTTATTAGTTAAAATTTGTTCAATTAATTGATTCTTATCGATTGTTATTTTCTTTTGATAATTATCACCTTTTTCATGGATACTTCGATTAAGAGAAATATATGATGAATTTGCTAAAAGAAAATAAAATGCTCTGTTTTTTTTTTCTTTTCAAAATTCATTAAATAAATTACATACATAAATTTGAATCTATTTCAAATACATCTGGAGAATTAATTTTATGATTAATTTGTGGTACTTCTTGTTGTATTGGTTTATTTTGAATATCTTTCAATATTGTTTGTCTAAGAAAAGATAATGATAATATTTTTTTTCTATTTTAAAAATGAAATCTTTAATTTACATTTCATTATTATTTTCTTGGCTTTGTTTTTTGAATAGTGGTGTTAATAAAATCTCATTATATTGTTGTAGAGTTTTATGCATTGTAGAAGATGGTGGAAGTGAAGGTGATAATTGAGTTTGAATACTAATAAAACAAATATAATTTATATTTTATTTAAAAGAATAAAAATCAATCACTAGAATCATTATCTATTCTCTAGTTTATTTTAAAGATTCATTGATTTGAAATACAATTCTCTTTAGGTTAAATTATTCTATCCGTATGAGGAAACATATCCAATTGATAAATCACTTTTGAACCGAAACCTTGTGAACAATACATAATTGACCATACTAAATCCAAATATCAGTGTCTCCTGAAACTCTGAAAAAACGAGTTACTACAGCGAATACTTTTTTGGTCTGTCCAGATTGTAGAGAGCATCAGGCAACAACTTGTTAGTTTTTTTTTTGTAATCTACACCACTGAGTCTTTATGTATGCATATATATGTTTATTTTATTAATTTTCATGTTATGTAAATTTCTTTATTGTAAATCGATGTCATAGAATTCACCTTTCATTTGTCAGATAGTCGAAATATTTCTGTCTCAAGAAAGAACTTTTTTTCAGCCATATTATTTTTGCAGAAACGATGTTGTTTAAAAAGTTGTGCTTACATCGATAAATTCAATAGGCAAAATTAGGAATGATGATTTTTTACTCATATCAAATCGCCTGCAATCAATGAAACAAAGCTTTTTATACACAATTCCATACGTCTCAAAAATCTAGACAGATAAACAAAAATATTTTGACAGAAAAAAATTTTTCACTGCCATAGACCCACTTTTGAGAGTGTCGGATCTCTGAAGATCTAGCAGCGTGTA